ATATACCTAAAAGATTAAAAAAACAGAAAAAAAAAATAGCAGACAGCATTCCGAAATGTGGAGCTGAACTTGATATTTTTGTGTGAGCTTGAAGTATTGCCATTATGCTGGGTAACAAGGGAGTAGAAATCCTTGCTTTTTTTATAGTTGTTATCATTATGTTGTGTTAAATTTGTGTTAACCTGCTAACTTTTTTTTCATTTTTTTTTTTTTTATTGTATATCCAGATATAGATGAATCATTTGTTGTTTTTATTGGACTGACTGTTTGGACATAGTTGCTTATGTATATTATATATATGTATGTATATTTTTTCTAATGCTGTAACTAAAGAGAAATTATTTCAGTTAAGTTGTTTTTTTCTGATAGTCTAATTTTTTTTTTTAATTAAAGCAATCTGTGTTGTGCTTTGATGCAATTGCAAGTTAAGGTAGAAAATAAATATAAAGACTTGAAGAGAAAAAAAATTAGAGGCTTCTTTTAATCAGTATGACTTACCAAATATGTTGATTCCTTGAATATAATGTTAAATTACTTTGTATAACTTTGCTTTCTTATTCTTTATTCTTCTCTCCTCCTGGATGGGGTAGAGAATTGAAAAGGTTCATTTACACTACAAATATAAAATTGTTAATTTGAAATGAACCATTTGCACACCAGAACTAGACATTTTTAAAGGTCTTATATAATGTGGTTATGTGAGTGAGATGGAGGTAAAAAGTTAGTCACCAAAGACAAACTGTGTGCAACAAATAATGTTCTTGATCTGAATATGCTTAATGCATTTTAGTTGCAAGTGTCTTAACCCATTCGCGCCGGGTAAAAATGAACAAAAAATGGGGAAAATGCTGTGCTCATTTTTTATACTTTTCGTGAAATTTCTCTACACTAGATGGCTCTGCCTTACCTGATTTCATTTGGCGGGAAAATGTATTTTTTACTAGTACTATGATTATCGATGGTTATCTTTATTATAAACATTATAATTACTATAATGTTATGAACATTAGTAACAGCAAAATAAGATAACGTATAATATTTTCGTAAATTTAAGAAAAGGGTAAACAGGCGAGACAGGCAGTACAAGTATAAGTGCAGCCATCTATGTGTAAAAACAATTAAACAAGTAAACTCACAGTGGGCCCGTCACATATACGTGACACCCGGCGTGAATGGGTTAAGCATTGAAATTAGTACATCTAAGAAGAGATGTGCAATTTGTACGGCATAATGTGTGAGGCACATGTGTGCTTCTTTTGTGTCTCAAGATTGACCTAATTCATGTGGTTAGCATTAATGATCTGCGTAGGGCATTTAAAAGAATTTTCCTATGGATCTGAATGAAAGCTGAAGATAGTGCTTAAAATTAGTAGCTTTTTTATGTTATGATGTGACTTGCTTTATTTCTGTACTAAAATGAATGAATTTTAACATTTTAACAGCAACATAGTTATTATACAATATATATATTATTGAGATATTCACATCCAATTAGCTTATATCATTCAAGGTTTTAAACCTCAGTTAATCTAACGCGCATCATCTAAAACGTGTATAAGTTACTTGCTGATGGAGTGTTTTTTATAAATGGAAGGTTCTGTTGTATAGTTAGTATATCATAAATAACTGTTGGAAAAAGAAGTAAATGAAAATATTTTATTTGAAGTGATGTTAAAAAAGGCATCCTTTTTTGTTTGTAAATTATTGCAAGCTAACAAAGCACAAGGATTGAAAATAGGTTAAATGAGTTGACATGCTGATTACAAATTTCCTTTATAAATTGTTTTGTGGCAATACTGTTTGAAATGAAAAATAGTGCAAGTTACACATGTCTTACATCTCATATTTTTTTATTACAATTCTGTTATTTTAGAATTGCAATTATTTTTCACCACTTGATATTTAAACCATTTAATCCTAGGGAAAAATGTCCTAAGAGACATGTAGTTCATAAAAATATATATATTTGATTATAAATAAGAATTTTGGAAACAAGGTCTGTCTTTATTTTGATGATGATCAGGTTGCTACTTTTGGACCATTTTTGCCTAGCTCTATTTATTGATATTGAAATATCATGCCAAGTTTGTGTACATTTAATTTCTCAAGCTTGTTTTTGATGTGTTTTTTCAGTAAATAAAATAACAACCTAATTTCAGTAGCTAGTTTTGTAAAAGGAAACAAACAAACAAACATATTTTGCATATATTTTTTGTAAAAAATAATCAGATGTAACTATACTACAAATTGTATGATAATTTATGTTAGAATTCTTTTGTGCCATTACTTTTTTTTAAATTTCTTAACCTAAAACATTCCTTATTGGTTAATTCTCGGATTTGTTTTCTAAACTCATACTGCAGTGCGCAGTGCATCAAAACTGAAGAATTACCTGCCTCACCTATTCTGTACCACTGACTAATTATAACATTGTATTGAGTCATATGTGATACTAATCATGTGATAGGCAGTTGATACTTACAATAAAATTTCAATCTGACTTACAGAGTATGTTATTAACCTACAGAGAACAGAACATAAATCCAGAGCAGTTGGATAAACCCACTGCTTCTGGAAGAAAATGGGGTTCACTTGAGTAGTATGTACAGCCAACTGGGTTTATCTCCAGGGCCTTTTTCAGATGCAGCTGATGCGTAGCACTCACATCATTTCACCAGCAAAGTGATTTTTTTTATCACCTGTATGCAAAACATGATTTTAATATTTTTGCATATCAGAGATGCTTGATATGCATTTTAGTTGCTAGATTAAACCTGTTGTTGCCTAATTATGTACTTTACAGTCCTTTCAATATATAAGGTATATTACAATCTGTGTACAAGATTGAATTCTGTTTTATTGCGGGATAAAAAATAAAATAAATCATTTTTGCAAAAATTATTTTTACAAAATAATAGATTGCATGCAGTGATATACAAGGCTTCAGCACTTGAAGACAGTCACACTGGTAGAGCACCAAAAGACAATGTGAGTAGTTGATACAATGACAGATTTTGTAAACAAAAGTGAAAGGTAACCCATTGTCACCAGGGAAAATGGATAAAAAATAGTGAAAATGCTGTGCTCATTTTTTATATTTTTTGTGAAACGTCTGCCGATAGATGGCTCTGCCTTACCTGATTTCACCTTTCCTTGAATTTTTTATGTGTACTATGAATATCAGTGGTGTTATTTTTATTATAAACATAATAATTACTATAATGCTATAAACATTAGTAATAGCAAAAAACGATAATGTAAAATATTTTCAAAAATTTAAGAAAAGGGTGACCAGGTGAGACAGGCAGTACTTGAAACTGGCTCATTGGTGATTTAGTACAAGTGTAGCCATCTATGTGTTGAAACAATCAAACAAGTAAACTCACAATGGGCATGGCATGTATGTACATGCCATGCCCATCGGGAATAGGTTAATTACAGGTTCACATCAATGGCAAGATGGCGATGAGTGAATGGGTTAAGGTAGGATTAACCCATTGCCGCCGGGGAAAATGAATAAAAAATGGGGAAAATGCTGTATTCATTTTTTATATTTTTGTGAAATATCTCTGTACATAGATGGCTCTGCTAGTCCTGATTTCACCTTTCCTTGAATTGGCGGGATAAAACGTATTCTTACCAGTGCTATAAATATCAATGGTGTTATTTTTAACAGCAAATTGGGATAACGTTAAATATTTTCGTAAATTGATGAAAAGGGTGAACGGGCTGTCTCGCCCGTTCACCCTTTTCAGGGCAGTACTCGTAATTGGCTCACTGGTGACTTAGTACAAGTGTAGCCATCTATGTGTAAAAACAATCAAACAAGTTAACTCACAGTAGGCATGGCATGTATGTACATAAGGGGTTAAGCAAGAGGGGATTAGATCAAATAAGGGATATGTATGCATCTGAGGAAGGAGTATTAGTTGTCAAAGCAGAAAGTATGGATGTCTGACAGGTCGGTGTAGTGAGGATAGGTGAGAGAAAGCAGAGGTATGGGCTGCAGTAAAGCGTGGACAGGACAACAGAATGTCTGGAACTGGAAGGGGACATAAGGACAGTTCAAAACATGATACCAGATAGGAGTGCATTAGGTGTGGCCAATACATAAGTGGCTGAGAGCCGTCTCCCAATGTCTGTTCCAATGAAATGAAGCTGACCAGGAGGAGATTGACAATTTCATAGTGTGTGATGTATCATTGTGAAGACTTCATGAGGAAGATTGCCATCAAGCATAAAGGTAGGTCTTAAAGTGGGGGTAATAATTTGTGGATGGAGTATGTGAGAAGCAGGGTTGGTGTGGTGTGGACATAATGGCAGAGTGTGCTAGAGTATATGTGTTTGAAGGCAAAAATGATTAAGGACATAAGTATTTAGATGCATGAGTTGGGAAGGTTACTGCAAAACCAGCACCAAAGGTGGATTTGGAAGAATGAGTGAAAACATGATAATACAAATGGGTGAGAAGCACAGAAGTTAAGATATCTGATTTTGGTGGGTCAGGGAAAACAGAGGAGCAAATACGGAGGTAGGGTATAAATCATAGTGGATCAGAATGGACAGAAAAAGGAAGAGGTTGGAGATGGGGAAAGGGGGAATTGGAGGGGAGAGTATCCATGCAAATGGAGAAAGGAGTAGGTAAATGTGTAGAAGCATAAGAAGAAAACAGTGATCAAGGGATAGTTAGTTTGGTGAGGAAAGTTGGTAGAAGGGAGCATAGCATCAGAGATAGAGAAGGGTACGGTATTGAGAGAGAGATGGTGCGCCTGACTCAGTGCACAGGCTCTCAATTAGAGAGGTGCAAAAGGTGCCTAGGGTTAAGTGAAGAGCAGTGGTGAATTGTTTCAAGATGAGCAAGAAGGAAGATAGAGGCAAAGGAGTTGGTATGGCATCCATAATCAAGAGTGGAGAGGATTAAGGTAACATGAAGATGGAGGAGAGATTTGCAGTCTGAGCCCTAGGATATATGGGAGAGAATCAGTAAGATTTGGAGGCAGAGGAGAGCTTTTTCTATAATGTAAAAGATATGGTCTCACTGTAAGATTCAACATCTGGACCTGACCTCCCTCCAGCTGGCCTGACCTGACCTCCCGAGAAGGGCTACCCCCCGGGGCGAGGCAAAAAGGGAAAAAGTGACCATTCTCAGGCCCATGGGCGCCCGCTGCAGGGAGCCACGCCCTGGGCAGGAAATAGGGAGGCCACGCCCACGCGAAGGTCGGGCATTGGCAGTTTCTTTAGCCACGCCCCTGTAGCTCCGCCCCTGGCTTCCAATCACCGCTACTTATTCTCCAAGGATGGCCCTGTCAGGCAGAGTGTGACGAGAGTGTTCTGTGCCAAGGTGGGTCACGCCTGACCCCCGGCCAGGTTGCCGTTTGTTAGGGCTTGCCGTCTGACCTAGGCGCCCTCGCCTTAACCCAAACCTTGTCATCTTGTGATTCAACTCCGTGTGCTAGCTCTATCAATAAAAGAGTTCTAGCCACTAAGCTTTTACTTCCCGGTTACCAATGTTTAAGAGGTGTTTATATAACTCAACGGAGCTACAGGGGCGTGGCTAAAGAAACTGCCAATGCCCGACCTTCGCGTGGGCGTGGCCTCCCTATTTCCTGCCCAGGGCGTGGCTCCCTGCAGCGGGCGCCCATGGGCCTGAGAATGGTCACTTTTTCCCTTTTTGCCTCGCCCCGGGGGGTAGCCCTTCTCGGGAGGTCAGGTCAGGCCAGCTGGAGGGAGGTCAGGTCCAGATGTTCAGGTCCAGATGTTGAATCTCACACTCACGGTATTGGAGTGGAGTGTCTTATAAGAAGAGTGGAGGTTGGGGACCTATATGTGCATGAGAGAAAAGGATAGAGAAAGATTTGAAGATATAAAAACGAAAGCCATGGTTAGTGGCCCATGAAGATATTGATGATATTGCAGACTGAATTGGATGAGAGTAGGTATGGAAGTGCCAGAGACAAAGATAGTTAAATCATCAACATAGTGAGGCTCTGGTGGTAGAACTGAAACAATGGCATTAGCATTCAGAAGAAATAAGCTAAATCCGAGCACACCACTTTGCTGTACGCCTTTGAACTGAGGAATAGAAGAGGCAATTCTGACATGGAAATGTGTTTGGAGAGGAAGTACACTGTGGAAACTAAACTGGGAAGGAGGGAGAAGATTGTGAGATTCAAGATGCCACATTAAGCGGAAGTTAACCATTCACTCTTGTAGTTTGTACAAGCAGCTAGTTAGAACGATGGGGCGGTAGTCTTGAGGGAGGGTACCCAATTTACTGGGTTTCAAGAGTTTCAAGTTTCTTGCGAGTGAGGAGGAGTATTTCCTGCCATCCATATGTGGTTGAAAATAGTTAATGAATACCATAATGGGTGTTGCAACACAATTGTAAGGCAATGTGAAGTTTAGAGGAAGAATAAGAAGCATTATAGGACTCAGCAGAGGACAGGGTGAAGGTGATGGAGATGTGTTCTCTGATGGTCTTAATGAAAGAGAAATGTGGAGAAAGGTGAGAGCCACTATTGACCTGGCTGAAATAGTCACCCAGTTCATTATTGACTTGGAAAGGATAAGATGAGAGTATCGAATATGGATGTCGGGGGCTAGGTGGAGGGGATGTTTGCCTGGTAGTTTATGATACTGCAATGCCTGACAGTTGAATAGATGTAGATGTAATTGAGGAAACACAATTTCATCACCTAGTTGTTTTGCTCTTCCGGATTGTAAGACGAAGACTGGCAGCTGCTCTTTTAAAAGAGATAAGAGGTGATAGCTGATTAGGAATGCCTTGCTTGTAGCGATAATTATTCCATGCTGCATGTTTTAAATGAAGTGCTTTGGTGCAATCAGAATGTCACCATAGAAACATTTGGAGGTATAAGGTCTTGAGGTCTGTCGAATGGCTGTATAAGCAGCTCTTTGGACTGTAACTGGAACGTTGTAGCATATCTGAAATGGACTAGAAGAGGGATGGAGGGGTAAGAATAGCAGTGAGTGAAGTGAAATTATGCCAGTCAGCTCTATCAAAGCACCAGCGTGTGGGATTATGAAGTAGGAGACAGGAGAACTGGAAAGTGGTCACTATAGGGAAAATGGTCTAGAATTGACCAGAGAAAAGGGGAGCATAAAGGGAGGTTAAGGCATGAAAACGACTGCATGGGCATGTCAAAGTGTGTGGTGTGATCTGAATTAAGAATAACAAGGTCAGTTATGGATAGGAAGCGAGGTTGTCCACGGGAGTATGGCGGCAGTGAAAATCACCAACTATGAGGAAGGGAGGCTAGAGTTGGGAAATTAAGAGTTTCAAAGGCAATTAAGTCAGTGAGGTGGGAAAGGAAGAAGCAGACTGAAATAAGTGTGATGCAGCAGTAAAGACAGATGCAAACAACCGTGCAAAGGACAGTGGTTTGAAAGGGACGTGTTTTTTTCTGATGTGTAAGTAGAGACGAGACATAAAGGAAGTGTAAGGAAGAGACAAAATGGTAATTGGTAATTGGTATCGGA